CAAATGTGGCAAAATGTTAAAAATTTGTGAACTTAGGTGATGGGTATGTGAGTGTTTACTGTAATATTTTTGCAAACCATCTTTTCTGCTGGGTTGCAAATTTCAAAATAAAAAGTCAAGAGGATGAGAAGTCAGATTAGAAGACAATATTTGCAAAACAGATATGACTTATGACTGTTACCCAAAATATACACAGAACTCCTAAAATTCAACTATAAGAAAACAACTTGATTAAAAGAATGGGCCAAAGGCCTGAACAGACACCTCACCAAAGAAGATGCACAAGTGGCAAATAAGCATATGAAAAGATGCCCAACATCATATGCCATCAGGGAACTGCCAATTAAAACAAAAATGAGATACTGTTACACACCTATTAGAATGGACAAAATCTGAAACACCGCCAACACTGACAGGATGTAGAACAAGAGGAACTCTCGTTCACTCCAAGTGCGAATGCAAGATGGTATGGCTACTTTGGAAGACAGCTTGACAGTTTCTTACAAAAGTAAACACATTCCAATACTACCAAGAATGAAATTTCAAGAGTGAAATTTGGGTGATAATGTGTTTTAGCATATGTTCATCACTTAATAACAAATTACTACACTGGTGCAGGATGCTGAGAGTTCAGGGCAAGTGGGAGGTTCATGGGAACTCTCTGCACTTACTGCTCAATTTTGCTGTGAACCTAAAACTGCTCTAAAAAATAAGTCTATTAAAAAAAAATTAGGGGGTGGAGTGGAAACCAGATTAGGTATATTTTTTCCCAGGATCTCACTCTAACTCCACTGACCTGGCGCCGTCTCTACCCTACAGGCGTAGATGTGTGGACTCTTGATTGCAACATGTTACTTCACGTGGCATTTGCCATGTGATTCTTTTCTTCAAATAAATTAAAAACAGAAAAGAGAACTGAGAAGTGACTGTGCCCAAGAGAGAAGGACCCTTCTGTTAACCTTCCTCGATTCTCTGGACACCTCAACTCTGTTCCTTACATCTGGCCATTGGTTCTCTCTTCTTTTTTCCCAGGGAAAAGTCATCACTTAGAAATACCTGTGGAAGTCAACCAGGTGTTCTGAATCGATATAATCACTCAAGTTCAGGGTCAAGTCTGACACTTGCTGTGAGCCACATTCCTAGAAAAATGAAAACAGAAAATGAGAGACTGGGGTATTTCTGGTCTAGTGAGTGAGGGGGCAGGTGGGGAGAGAGGAACAATTTAATCATCAACCTAAAGAAATACATATGTGCACAGAGACACATATAAGGACTGTCTGTAATAGGTGAAATACACTTCTAATGCTTGAGAACTTCTCTGACTTAGGATTATGCCTTTCTGAGGCAGAGCCCAGAAAACCTACTTTCCAGGCTCTTTTGCAGCTTGGACACTGGCATGTAACTGGGGCACCAAATGGATGCACAACTTCAACTTGGAGATGGGAAACATGGATACACAAGCCGAGTAAAGGGCAGACACCTTGTTAATGAAGGCAGCAACAGAGGCAGCAGGGGTCACAATATCAATGGCTCATGAGAAGGAGCACCAGGGTTGGCAGTCAGCCAGTACCTAACGCCCTGGGGTGGCGGCAGCAGCAGTGGTTTGGGGTAATGCCCCGGAAGCCCAGCCTTGTACCTGTTTCTCCAGCCCTTCCAACAATTCAATGAGCTATCTCAGTTCTTTTAATAAACCCAAATGTTTAAATAAAAACCTGAGGGGATTTTGTTGTTTATAACTAAGAAGCCTGTCTGATACAGGATCTAAATGTTCATCAAAAGGGAGAGGAAGAAATAAATTGCAGTATTATGGAATACAACATAGTGGTTAAAATGAACAAGGTACAGCTATATGCATTGTCACGTAAAGGCCTCCAAAACATACTGGGTAAAAAAAAAGCAAAGCGCAGCATGTACAGACTGCATGATACTTTTATATGAACACAGACAACCAGGACAAAACTTCAAAAAAGAGAGTCACTGCCCTCATGGCGGTCGCAGTCCAGTGGCAGAACACAAATATTACACCACAGCACAAGTAAGCAGGTTAATTACAGACTGTGTTACGCACCAGGCAGGTAAATAAGATGATGAAGCAGAGGCATAATTTAGATTTTTCTGGCAGATGAAAGTAAGCAGCCAGGACCGATCTTTTTGAGTAAGTGAAACACGAGGAGTCAGCAGGCTACAGGAAGGGATCTTTGTGAGGTGGCAACGGTGGAGAGGAAGGGCTTTCCAGCCCAGAAAGGAGGGGTAAAGACCCCAAGGCAGCAGAAAGCTAGGCTTACCTAAAGAACTACAAGTAGCCCCTGGGGCCACAATAAGCTTTTTTCTTTCAGGTTGTCCCTAGATGGATTTACCTTAATTTACTCAACCATCCTCCTATGATGAAAAGTCCCTCCTTTTACAACACTAGGCAGTGAAATCTCTGAATACAAAGTGTTTCTATATTTAGGGTTCTGGCCTCAGAATAGAATTCCAGAAGCAGGATCACTGGTAAAGGCTTCACAAACATTTAGGGCTGTCGATCCAATGGGTTTCAAACAGGCGATCCAAAGTCCACGCCCACCAGCAGACCCCTCCGTGTGCTAGAGACTCACCAGCACGTTGATGATCATGCTGTTCTCCACGGTGACAGCCTTCACGAGGAGCTTTCTGGACCCATCCTTAGACTCATACCGGAGGACATACAGGTCTTTATTGTTGTTCCATTCAGCTGGCAGCAGTTCTGATTTCTTATCATTGGGACTGGGCTGAGAAGACACCAGAAATGAGAGGAGGAAGATCATGACCTCAGATCTAAAAAGGACCTTACATATAATCTAATCCCACTCCCCCACTTCACAAATGAGGACACAGAGGTCAGAAGTAAAATGTTCAAGGTCCTAGAGCGAGTTAGAGGTCTGGGGTCTCTGAACTCCCGCCCCAGTGCTCCTTCCTCATATCTGACTGCTTTGGTGACGTAGCACTGGAACCTGTCAAGAATCTGTAGCCGTGGTTTAATACTAATCTCCTCTCCATCCCTCTGCCAAGAATAAGGCCAATCATCTCAAGGGATACTGTGAAATCCTAAGACAGTGCTTCCCAAAGTTTGGTACTTGGGCCATCTGCAATAGGATCAACAGTGTTGACTAAAAATACAGATTCTATGTACCCCTCTTCAAACTACTATAGTGGTTTAACAAAAATTATGAACAACTTTCATATAAACAGAAAATATAGCATACGTATAAGATTAAAAAAGAATTATAAAATGGACATCTATGTAACTACAACCAGCTTAAGAAACAGACCTTGGCTAATTCTGCTAAAGCCTCGAGTAGTGTACCCCAATGAAGCTCCCTCCTCCTCCTTCTCGGGTAATCGCTAGTCTGTATTTTCAGAGATTACAGTCCCTTGTAGTTGCGTTGCTATACACAAACCCTAAAAATATATTATTTCAAATGTCTTTGAATTTTATATAAATGGCATCATTTTTATCACTTGCCTTTTTCATTCGATACTATTTTGAGGTCCATCCATGTCAATGCACTTAACTACACTTGCCTCACCGTGTAACATTCCATTGCTACACAGGTCACAGCCTCACAGCGTACCACTGTGTGAATACGTTGCAAGTTACACACTCACTTGTTGATGGACATTTGGAGTATTTCCAATTTATTGACTTTGATATTATAAACGCTGCTATGAACATTCTTGTACACATCTCCTAGTACACATATGGATGAGTTTGTACAGGGTATGCCTAGGGGAAGAACTTTTAATTTATAAGATAAAGTCAAATTGTTTTCCAAAGAAGTATGGATTTACACTCCCACAAGCAATGTATGAGAGTTCTTGTTCCATGTGGTCAGCAACATTGCTGCTGTTCAGTTTAAAAATTTTTGCCAACCTAGTGGGTGTAAAAATGCATCACTGTGAGTTGTGATGTCTTCCTTTCTTTAAAAAAAAAAGATAATAATCCTAGAACTTTCCTTTTACACATTAAGTTTGAGAAAAAATTCTCAAACTATTTCTATAGTAGAAATTAATACAGTGATTTCTGGGGAGGGGGAAGATTTCTTAAACAAGATCCACGAAAGAAGAAAAGTGCTGTCTTTTGACACTGCTCATAATTTAAAGCTTCAAATGAACAAAAGACACTAGACAAAGAGAACAGGCAGCCCCGGGCTAGGATGAGCTATGTGCCATGGCTGCAAATGAAAAGAATTAGTAACTAGTACAAAAAGAGAATGCCTGGAAAATGAACAACAGACAATGGGAATCCACTTGAAAAACAGGCAAAAGATGTAAACAAGCAAAAGATAAGAGCAGCTAACAGTGAATAAAGGGTTGTTCAATTTTACCAGCACTCAGAGAAGCGTAGGTTGAAATATGAGATACCAGGTTCCACCCAGCAGACTGCTTTTATCCATTTTTCCATTTTTTGCCAGGTGTTCGTGTGGGTAAGAGGAGAATGACAACCTCCTGGTGGCGAGTCACACTTAGACACCCCTCTGGAAGGCAATCTAACATTCAGTGTAATTAGATGAGCCAACACCCCATGACCCAAAACCTCCACTCCTGGAAGAAATTCTGTGCAGGGAATATGACAAGGAATCATCAAAACCTTGTTCTGGGCAACCCAGGGGAAGTAAAATGCAAAATATGCTCACAGTGGAATCCTGTATAACAGTGAGAAGGAACAAACTAGATCTAATGGCAGTATTAGAGATAAAAGTAAACACTACAACTTAAAGAAAAGTCAAGAAAAAATAAGATTTACAGCTGGGTACAATTTATGTAAAAAATCTGAAACACTAAAAACTATATATTGTTTTCACGGATCCATAGTTCTACAGCTAAACATGCAGCAACAGGATTGAGAATATCTGTATTCATGAGAATATAGTGGGAGAGAGTGGGACCAAAGATGAAAAACAGCAGCAAAAGACAAAGGTTCAACAACCCAGACCTCATACACCCCAAGGACAACAGGAGGCCAGGAGTGGAGATTGTGAGCCTCTCCTCTTGGGTCACCTCTGGGGCTAAGGAATCAAATGGAGGTTGGGGAGGAGTGGTTCCAAATGAAATTCAAGATGTTACAACTGGCATGGTTTCAAACCTGGCAGAACGACAAGGAAACTCAAAGGCCTGAAGCAGAGAAAGGAGAGTGATGGAAAACAAAAGTGAAACTTAATCAGTTCCCTCTGCTAAATGAGAAAGAGAAATGATCCCCACCGCCAGCTGGGTGAACTTCCCATAACATGTTTAGTGCCATGGATTTAAAGTTTACTCTGGAAGCCAAGAATCTGATAACATGTCTTTGTTCTATCAAGGGCCTCTGAATGTATATTTATATCCTCCATGTACAGCACTCAACCAAGTAGAACTTCTTCTTGGAATATAAATAATTCAGCCTACTACTTGGAATATAAATAATTCACTATCCTATAACCTCTGGTTTCCAGAGCAAGAGACAATCCTGGGGTCTGGTAAGGCTAATGCCTCTCAGTGCAGTGGAACCAGTGGTCCCCAGTTCAAGGGCTGCCTGATATGGGAAAACAGATGGCACTCAGAGAGACTGGCCCTGGTGATATCAGGTCAAACACGGCATTCAACTCTAGACTGGGACATCAAGTATTAGACCTCCCAGAAAGCTACAATTGGAAAGTACCCAAAGTACACAGTTGGACAGCTTAACTTAGTCAGATGGAAAAAAAATCTAAGGGCCGAAAGGGGCTGAGAATTGCCCCAGGTCATGGCAAGTCAGGTGCAGAGCTGGGTTTGGCATTCAGAGCTCCTGGTTGCCCAGACTATGGCTGGAGATTTTTTTCCAACTAGGTCCACAAGACAGGCTTCCCAAAAGTAAAGATAGTTGTCCCGTTAGGCAAAATCCTGGGGCTGGAAGCATTCTTTAATGGCCATGAGTTCATTTCAGTGTCCCTGGCTTAAAATGCATCCAAAGATCATTTTGGGCATTCTCTCATCATAACCCTTACATTCCTACAACAGCAAACAAAAGTCTCTAACTTAAGTCAATAGCCATCTCTACCCTCTTGCCATCTAAACCACCTGACACAGCTGTAAAACTCTCGTGAGGAGTGGTGCTGACTTCAGTAAAGAAATCCAAATTCAAATACTCCATTGTTCTTCTAATCAAGCTTTATGTACACAACTCCCCTGCACCAGAAGAGACAAAACTAAAGAGAAAAGCAGACAACTTCACTTTCTATTTAACTGTCAATATATTAAATGAGCAAGTACACAATTTCAGGACCTTCCTCTCTCTCTTATCACCCCTAGAAGGGTGGGAAGCAGAAGGTAAGCGGAGAGGCAAAGAAACATCTTTTGAACTTGGCAAACACTAAGCATCTCAGCTGGGTCTGCTGGCCCCAGGCTAGAAAATTAAACCCTCTCTGAAGTAAACTAATAGGAAAGATGCTCCTCCAAATGGCTTCCACTCTGAATGAAAGTAGACTGAGCAGAAATGAGAGGAGGATGGGTGCAACCCGAGCTCCAGAAACACTTAAAGGGCAGAGAGAGGCAAAAGCACGCACGCGCCACACTACAGTGCACGGCACAAACGCCCACCCCCGGGGGGCCTGCACGACCTAGCGCTGGGGTGGACAGGTAAGACAGTGGGCAGTGCCTTCTAAACCCCTCATCCCCACTCTCGCTGGCCTCCCCTAAGAAGTCTGGAGCCGGCATCTTTTTTCTGGCCTGCATGAACTCAACACATGGCACCATGAACAGAGTGGAATTGGATGGACCTTTGGGATTCAGTCATCAGTCAATGACCTACAGGAAATGATGTCCCAAAGCTGCCCAGCTGACTCAGACAGAGTTGCTGACAGGATCTGTGAGGGGACAAGTGGTGGGAGCGGATGTGCAGTGCTGATATGTGTCTGTGGAAGGGGGAGAAGAGCAGGGAGTCACGCAGGCCCTTTGTAACAAGCTCCTGGTCCTGGGGGACAAGCTGCTAACAGTATTAGCTGACAGTAAGGAAAGGGGCGCATGAGCAGGGGAGAGAGCAGGGCAGACCTGTTAGGTCTGAAGGACAGGGCAAGGGGTGTGTGTGTGGTGGTGGGGAGCTGAGAGCCAATGAGGGGCCCCAAGGTTACCCCCTCTCCAATCCCACTGCCTCCCGCACCACCGTACACATCAGCTTCCTAGGAAAACGTCCCAGGAAAAGATGAAATGAAATGCCTGGGGCAAGTGAAAGAGCTGTTAAAGATTCGAGAGCTGGAATGGGGCAACTGAGGAGACAAGGTTTCTGTGGGAGAGCCTATGCACTGACAGGGGACACCTACCACTCGTGAATGTGGGCCCCACCTTTACCTGGTCTTAAGGTCTGAAATGTTGAAAGGCAAGCTAAATGGAACAAAGTGCAGGGTGAACAGAAAGGCCGGGAACAGAGGCATCAGGGAGGAAGAAATGGTTCCTGCTTCCAGCTGTGTGTGTGTGTGTGTGAAAGGCTGGTCCTTCTTTTCCAGCCTTATCGCCAGTCCTAGAGTCCATGTGAGGCATTAAGTATACGTGAGCCAGGAGGTGGTGGGGGAGATAAGAGTGTGTATCTGGGGTCCCAGTGAGCTACTTGAGGTCTGGGGGGAGAAAAGAGCCAGAAAGCCATGACAGTTGTTGTGATTCTGATTCCCACTGGTAAGCATAAAATGTGAGGGGGTGTGGTGGTCGTGGTCACTAGTTCTAAGGGATAGAGAAAGCGGGCCGTGGGGTGGGGTGGAGAACCTGGCTCTAAGGGCTTGGGATGTGTAAACCGTGTTTGAGGAGGGATCCCCAAAGCTCTGTGTTAGGAGAGGAAAAATTAAGATTCTCGATGTATACCTGAGAAACTAGAAAAGGATTAGGGAGTTAAGAGAACTAAAGTAGTTAGAAATGAGAGTAAGGTTAAAATCTCAGTGTAAGATGAAAGGAGTGAATTGCTCCCCAGAACAGGTCTAGGTTCTGAGAGTGAGAACAGAGCGACAGTGACAGACAGGCTTAGAGTCCCGAGTGTGTGTACAAGAGACCGTGGCTGGGAGGGTACTTTCTCTGATGTGTACAATGACGTGTGGAGGGACACTCAAGGGGAAGGGGCAGGGAAGATGGGAGAATGCTACAGCAAGGAGTCAGGGAGGTAGGCTGAGCCCAGCAGTTCTGGGACTGTGTGGGGATGACAACGAGGCCCCCAGCTGTAAGAGACAGAGCCTGAGGATGGGAGAGCAAGAGGGGCTGGTCCTGTAGGGGCAGCTGTGAGGAAGGAAACTTACTTGGCCCTCATACCCAGGGTGCATGTGTGTACGAATGTGGGAGGTGGTTGTTTCCCAGAGCCTGAGTTGAAGATGACAACGGTGAATGGGCTGCACTGGGCCCCTCAGTAAAGGCTGAAGGGCGTGTGAGTTCTCTGGGCCCTTGACTAGAGCTGAGTTGGTCCAAATTCATCCCTATACCCGTGCTTGGATCCAGGTATCTGGTGGGCGCTGCAGTACTGTACGAGGGTAGACCTGAGTACAGCTCATCGCTCTCCCCGAACCCCGCCCAACCCCGCCAGCTGTGTGGGAAGGAGCTTGGCGGAGTTCGGGTAGGTGAGGGGTGCTCAGGGGAGCTGCACCCCTGTCTCAATGCCAGATCCCACAATCCCGACCTGGGAGACTTTCTGTCCTTGGCTTTTCAATTCATGTTGTGCCAGGTGGGCTGGGACAGGACAGCACCTCCCCGACCCGCAGACTATAGGTACCAATGGTGTCATGAGCCCCAGGGCCCGGACTTGGGAGGAAGGGCAGACACTCTGCACCAAGCCTCCGGTACTTCGGGTTTGGGCATAAGACACCTTAACTGCGCCCCCCACCCCACCCCCTGCCCCAGGTCGGCTCCGCAGCGTACCTGGTCGCCGGCACCCAAGCCGTAGTAGCCATGCGTGATCACCTCCCAGTGCAGAAAGCAGACGAGCGCGTCCTGCGCGCAGGTGATGGCCGGCGCCGCCGACGCGAACAGCACCTCCAGGCCCGCCATGTGCGCCCCCGGCTTCTGCGGGCGGAGGAAGGAAGGGAGAGAGTGCGGTGAGCCTTCTCCGCTCTCACGGAGAGCTGACTCCGCTTGGCTCCCCAGCCGATCCTGCTCACGTCTCCGCCTGCGCAGCCAAAATGGAGATGGAGACTCCCGGGGGTGGGGACGCGGCCGCCGGAAGTAGCTTCCAGCGCCGGCACTGCTGCGCCAGCGCGCCCGGCTGGAAACAGGCGCGCGACACTTAAAGGTTCCTGTGGGCAGAGCGCGGACGGGGCGGGACCTCTGGGGGTCCTTCAGAGCTGCTGTCTCCATCTTTCCCGTAGCTGGCAGGACCGCTACATGCAGGTAGTTGAGGAAAGGCTAACTTATTCTCAGCCACAGACTTCAAATCTGCAGAATGAGGTGGGCGTATGCTGGTGGGGGAAGAGATTATGAAATTGGGCTGAAATATATTCAGAATAATAGTTGGCACTTAGGCAGCGCTTGCCACGCGCCACATTATTCTAAATGCTTTACTTGTATTCATGTATTCAGTCCTCATAAGCCAACCCTCTAAAGTTGGTATTTGATAGCTCCATTTTACAGATTGGTAAACAGAGGCACAGAGGGGTAAATTTGACCAAGATGAATGAGAGGCAGAGATGGCACTGCAACCTAGCAGTCTGTCTCCTAGGGTAACATTTATTAAATGTTTATTGTGTGCTAGATCCTATGCAAAAACTTTTACATTACCCCATCAAAAACTTTTTGAGGTATATTCCATTACCATTCCTATTTTGCTGATGACAAAAACCAGCTTGGAAGCTGCTTGCTGCAGAGACAGAGCTGCAGAGCTGGCGCTCCTGATCCACTACCAAATTTCAGTCATTTGTTTGTCTGTCTCCTTCATGATTCTTAACACCTATTATTTCTTCAACAGGTTTCTTGAAATCCACTTACTATTTTTATTAAAATAAATTTAGTTTCCCCATCCCTGTTAGCACCCTGCTGCAAGCCATTATAATCTTTCACTTGGATGTCTGCAGCCTCTAAACAGTCTTACTCCATCTCTGCCTCCCTAAAGCCTGTTCTACACACTGCAACTAAAGATTCTGTTAGAACACACGCCAGATCACATCCCTCCTCTGCTCAAAATGCTTCCAGGCTCCCATCACACATTTGAAAGAAAACTAAGTACTTACCATGGTCTGCAAGAACCTTCATATGGTCTGTGCTCCCCATCCCCCCCTTTCTCTAACATCATCTCCTCCAACTCTCTTCTCATCCCCTGTACTCTTAACTCCAGTAACCTCAACTTTCCTCTTCTTTCACTCCCACATTACCCCCAAAATATATTCTGAATCTGACCACTTCCTACCACCTACACTGCCTCCACCCTGGTCTGATCCTTTGCATGTACTATCTCTGCCTGCACTACTCTTTCCCCAAACATCTGCGTGGTTTGGTCTTTCATTTTAAGTGACTCCTTCTTTCACCTCCTATCAGCCTCAGCAGAGGGCTTCCCTGACACTCCATCCAAAACAACCTTCTACTCTTTAACCTCTTACCTTGCTTTCTTGCAAAGCATTAATCACAACCTAATACTGTATTAGATATTTATTTGCTCGATTATTTAACGACTGTCTTCCAACTAAACTGTGACAAGGAAGAAGGGACCGTGTCTGTCTTGTGCATAGGTATACCTGTGCCTTCCTAGCACAATGTATACTTACTTACTGAAAGAATGAATGAATAATTGCCCTGGGCTCAGCCCAGTTGGGCCAGTCTCGCCCCCTTTGCAGTCTACCACTCACTTTGTTAGCTGGCCCTGTACATTTTCAAATTTGTTGTTCTTGGGGTTCCCTGGGATGCCCAGATTCCTGAACCCCATCTGCAGAGATTCTGGCTGAGCAGGTTTGAGCAGGAGTGCAGGTATGTTGACCACACTCTAGTGACGCCTGTGACATAAAGCTGTGTGTTTTTTCTACTGAGAGGCTCTGCACTTTTAAGCTCCCTGCTCTTGCTTGCTCTGTCCCTTTTGCTTGCAGTGTCCTTCCCCAGTTATTGAAAATGCCCATCTATTCAGTAAACCTCCATAGGCTGGGTTGCCGTGGATGGTGATGCAGGCTGTGCACTGCACAAAAGTGCCCACCCAGTAGCAGCCCCATTCTCAAGTGTCTATATAAGAAAGGACCAGATGACCAAGCTGTATTTCCTGCCTCTTTGGAGCTCACTGTCTAGCGGTTTAAAAAAAAAAGTTACAGACAGAGGTAATCCATTGTGAAAACTGCCGTGGCAGAGGGACACTTGGAGGACTGTGCAGACCTAGAGGAGACATCTAATTCAGGCTGGGGGTCAGGGAAGTCTTGGAGGAAGAGATTTCCAACTGCACTGAACTTTATTTGGAAAATTGGGAGTGAACTTAGAAATAAAAGTTGTTCCTGTAAAAAAGAATGGCATATGCAAAGGCATGGAGGGGCGAAAGGCAGCTGGTACTGTGTGATTAGAGCGTCCATGCTGCATCCTGAATGAGACCTTCCCCCATCTCCTCCACCCACAATCAGTTACTCTCTCCTCAGTGCTGTTGGCCTCAGTGGGGTGCCGAGAGGAGGGTAGGGGCCAGAGCTATCAGCCTTAGTAGGGAGGAGAATTTTGTCACTGAAGTTGATTAGAATGGCTGGTTCATGGTGATAATAAAAAGCAGACTGGCTGTTGCTCCATTTTATTACTGCTTTTAAGTTTTTTAAAGACAATGCCCCTACCCGCCCAGACCGCTGCCTGCATCTGGGCAGACAGCTCCCCTGTTTTGGCCACTGCTTTGCATACAATTGGTTCTAGCTCACATCTCACAGAAGTTTGGTTCTCTGTTATACATCATCTCTGTTAGCTTGGAATCCCTCAGAGGCCAACAGGAGACAGGACTTGAGTGGTTTATTTGGAAGCTGATTCCAGGAAATAGTAATAAGGGAGTAGAGAAGTGAGAGAGAGAAAGGAAGGCAGCCAATGAGTGTTAGGTGATAAAGCCAAGGTTGTGGAGCCCGCTGGCACTCCCTGGAGTCATCAAACCCCCACCCCTGGGCTCTCTGTGTGCCTGGAGCCTATAGACACCTTAACCTCCACTCCCCACTGCAGGAACCTTTGCATACATGCATTTCTGCAAGATATACAACATCTTCTCTTGATGTGTGTTTACCCTAACAAAACTCATTGCCCCGGGATAGCCCTGCTCACAATACCCCTAGACTGGCAGGCCTCACATCCTGCCCTTCCCAAAGTCATAAATCCTATTGTTCAGAGAATCTTACAAACCAGTCAGGTACCTGTGCATGAATTGATCTTGCAGCTCCCCCTTGTGTGCACAGCACCCTCCCCTCAGTTAAAGACCCTGTATGCCCATCCCTGGCATTCATGCGGGCACCTTTGGCCTGTGTGGTCTGCTGTTGCCTATAGCAGTGTCCCTAATAAGGTTTCCTAAACTCTTCTCAGTCACTGGTAATTTTTTACCAACTCGTGTTACTGGCCCACCGTGTTGTGCCCGCAGCAAAGGTGTTACCTCTGAGCACCTGGAGCTCAGTCCTGCCAGGCAACCCTATGAAGCAGAGTTAAGACATGTCTCAGAGTTGTTTCAATTGAAGATGAGGGAACTGGGGTGTTCACTCACTGCCATCTGCCACAAGTCAAGGGCTGCTTCTTGCGGCATGAAAAGCCCTCAGAAAGAGAATTGTTGAGTTTAGAGAAAGAAGCCTGTGGTCCTTAGAGGTGCCTGCTAAGGAGTGAGTGAGGCACCAGTAGTGACTGCTCTGCACTCCCCGGCCCCTGGTCTGTGGCCCAGCTGTCAGTATAGTGTAGACACTGACATCTGTGTATTGAAAGAATGAGGTGAGCTCTGTCTCTTGTACTAGCTGCGAGTCCCCTAAGATCCAGGACTGTGTTCCATCCACACTGGACCCCAGGGTTCTCCAGGGTCCTCCATGGATGGAGCAAATGGGAGAATCCTCTGGGGCTGGAGGTTGTCCATGTCCTACCACCAGTCCATCTAGCACTTTCTGTGGACTTACCGCCATCAACAAGAGTCTCAGTTGTTCCTGTGAGGCCTGTGAGTGGCTGAGAAGGAAGGCAGGTGGAATGTGCCGCCCTGGCCGGGCCCCCACTGCCTGGGCAGTGCAGAGCCCATGCCAGAGATGAGGGCCCAAGATGCTGGAAAGAACGTGGCAGGTGGCGGCAGCCACCAGTTCCAGGTTGCCAAGTGACAGCAATGTGGGTATTCCAAGTTCTCTGGAAACTGTCTCCCTGGAAACTGTGAGAAGCAGGATCTAGATGGACACTGAGGTAGAATCATTTACCACTAGAATCTGCTCCTTTGACTTAGCATCAGGCTCATCACTACACCTCCTCCAGGAAGACTTTCATGATTAATACTGTTCAATACTACCTGGAACCCAAGACTTTCCATTCCCCTTGTCAGTGAGGTGCCCAGCATATTTGATACTCAGAGGAGATAACTTAAATATATATATGTATACACAAATATATATAATTTTAATATAACTATTAGTTTTTTGAAGGTATTTTTTATTGTGGTAAAATATGCATAACAAAATTTGACTATCTTATTGATTTTAAAGTGTACAGTTCAGTGATATTAAGTCCATTCGTACTGTTGTGCAATCACCAACATTCATCTTCAGAACTCTTTTCATCTTGCAAAACTGAAACTCTGTACCCATTAAACATTAACTCTCCATTCCCCGCTCCTCCCAGTCCCTGGCAACCACTTTCTGTCTCCATAGTCTTTCCTTTTCCAAAATATCATATAGTTGGAATTACACAGTATGTAGACTTTTCAGACTGTCTTCTTTTACTCAGTAATGTGCATTTAAGATTCTTCCGTGTGTTTCCATGGTTTGATGGCTTATTTTTTGTTTTGTTTGTTTTTATTGTTAGCACTGAATAACATTCCATTAACTGGAGGTACCATGGTTTATCTGTTTACCCACTGAAAGTTACCTTGGTTGCTTCTAAGTTTTAGCAATTATAAATAATGAGAGCTCCTGTTGCTCCGCATTCTCACCTGCATTTCACATTGTCAGCATTCAGGATCTTGGCCATTCTGATAGGTATGTAGTTGTATCTCATTGTTTTAATTTACATTTCCGTGATGATGTATGAGGTGGGACATCTTTTCACATGCTTATCTG